GATCAGCTTTAAAAAAAAGGACTCGTAACTGGAAAAACCGAATGAAAAAAGAATGTTAACAAATACTTTTTCACACCCAACCCAGTTCTGCGGAATCAGAATCAACGTTGAGTTTAAGTAAGCGAATGAGCCAAATAGAGTAAAGTGCCATGCAGATTTAAATTTTTCCCACTTGTGACAAGTGCAGCTATCGATTTTTTTTTGCATGCTAGTTAATAGTCGTGTCAGTCAGCTGTTGGCTCTCACGCTGGCCAGTAGAATCATCCTGCCTATTCGTGGCAGCCAGCTATAGGCTCTCACTCTGGCTCGTACAAAATGGCCGCAAACTACATGAAAATTGCCGTAGAAGCATGAAAAAATTTATATTATTTTCCACTATCGATGGGAGTTGGGAAATGCAGAGTCGGTCTTGGCCTTTCCACTAACTTGGAGCATGTGCATGTAAATTTTGGTGCAAATCCGTCGAAAATTGCCGCCTTGCATTCGTTACACACACACACATTCTGCCTTTTATAGATAGAGATATGTAAATTCGGTGGGTTAAAAAACCTGGATTCTCACTATTTTCAACCAAATTGGCATCCGGTGAGGGGGGGGGTGAAAAAAAAAAGAAAGCAAGCACCAGAAACCTCCGAACGGTGCGAAAGAAATCATCCAGTACCTTAAATCACTGGTGCAAAGACAAAAAAACAGCGAGTAATAAGTTAAAACAAAGAGTGCTCAATATGCTAAGTAGAGCAAAAGTAAAATAAATAAATCCAATTTATTATATATATATATATATATATATATAATTCCAACACAAGAAAAATAGCTTTTTCAACAAACGCTACCACAAACCGGTAAATCGAAACCTTACAACAAATGCCTGCCGTAACGACAATATTAATTGGGTCTTTTTGGATGAAAGCAAAAACAGAAGATTCTTATCTCGTTGAAATCGCTTTCAAAGCACTTCTATCGCTTCTACCGTTTCCTTCAACATAAATTTTCTAGATGGGTTCCTAACCACTATTCTGAGTACCATTTAGACAAGAAGACAGCAATACAATGAATGTTGATTCCCAATTGAAACCAAGGCGAATTAACAGAGAACAGCTTCCTTTTTCCCTAATTCTATTGTTACACGTAAGAAAGAATTCGGCTTTTTAAATAATTAAAAGTGAAACAAAATATAAGAAAACTATTAGGAGTTGAATAAAATATCAAGTCGTGTATGTCACCATTTAATTGGTGAGCGATGGAAGAAAGGAATATTCTCCCAGTTTGCATTTCCGCCATGATGGTCATTATCATATCCATGATATAATAACACCTTAATACACGATCGGAATAGTTGAAATAAAAGGAATAACAAAGATGCTTTTATACTGCTAAGTTATTCACAAAATTATATACATTTATTTACACGTGCCCCACGCAGAGAAACTAGAACACATGGTTGCACAAGTAGTGTAAAAATGGGAAGAAAATATAGGATCTTACTTAAAATAATTCACAACGGGATTTGGATCTATCGGGAATACTTCTGTGTTTCTGAAGAAGCCATATTTAGGATTACAAATGTTACTAGCAAAATTCATTAAATACATCAATTTCTAATCCCATTTTTCCTCTCATTTCATTGTTGGAATTGTTACCTGATGATCCGAAATCCTTTAAAAAGGATTTTGGTGAAATAAATTATTGTGATGGTACCTTAAAGTGGTCTGTTTTTCATTAATTATATATAAATATATATATATATATATTTAAGTAACGAAAATCTTGGTAATCCGTATGGATAATCCCAAGGAGAATGAAATCCTGAGAGCTCAATGTTAAGCCAGAGCGAATAATTTAATTTAAAGAAAAAAAGACCACTTTAAGGTTCCATTTGTAATAATTTATTTCACCAGAGAATTTTATTTTTCTCTGCATCTTCAGACATCACTTTCAAAAGGTGAAACGAAAAATGAATATATTTATAATAGCTGGCCACTTGTATTCGAGGATACTCGTCTATTAGGGCGGCTAGCAAATCCCTATTGCAGACGCTGGCTCAGGCACATTTGTGTTGTTCAACACCCACAGAACCAACCTGTAGTTAATACTGCAACTATGCTGAGCAGACCTTAGTTGCAGTTTCTGGGAGAGAGCGTGTTATCTAGAATGATCAACAATCTAAACAACGCTAGCACACTCAAATCCTCGGCCACGATGACTTGTCACTTCGTGCTATCGACGACTGCCAAGGGTTCCGTCTACCCAATTTCACAAAGCTTGAGTCAACCCGTGGTATGGTTTTCAGGCACTTTCCAAAGGTGCCGAACGCTGGGATCGACCCCCCTCTCCAGACCGATAACATCAGGAAGTCTCCTTCCTGACAAATCGACCATAGTGAGATTCGAACCCGGTTGATGGCATATATATATATATATATATATATATATATATATATATATATATATATATATATATGCACAAACACACATTTTGACAAGTATCCGATTATAATTGTGCTTGTCCTTGTCTTCGTAAGTTTGCCCGACCGTTACGTTCTGCCAATACCTAATAAATAATGGATGATTCAGTTTTGATCATGTGGGAAGACGAAAGATATCAAAGACGCTACTTGGTTTCAGTCAACATAAAGTTGGTAAAAATTGTCAATTTTAAATATTTTTATTTGTACCCCCTTACTTCTTGAAATAATGGCCTGTATTTATATTTATGATCGTTATTGCGATATTTTGATAAAGTTGATAAGCTCAAATATTTAACGATGCGATAGGGGAATTTCTACAGATATTCTATTGTCACAAAACTCGTCATTAGCTCTTTCAATCATTAACTGAAGAATTAAGATTCATCAGAAATTTAAAACCTTAATAACCGTGAAATTTTTACAGGTCAAAAATAGTTATTATTATTATTTGTGTGTTATGTTTCCTGCTTTGTATCTTGTAGAGCCGCTTCCAAACTATGGTCCTTAGACCCTATAGGAGAATTGTCATTTAACTGATAGCACTTTTCTTAGTGTATGGGACGTTCCTAGTTGGGCGATCTTCTGGGCAACTTGTACCTTGGTGCTACATCTGTACACTGATAGTAAAGATGTCCATTCCTTTTCTCGCGAGGCCCAGAGCTCCGAATACTATTGATAAAGTCTCAGTCTTCATTCCCCGCATCCTGTTAATTCCGATCTCCACGTCCTTGTATTTGGACAACTTCTCGATAATTTTCATGGAGGTGTTTCTCTCAGATGATACTGCTATATCAATAAGGATACACTTCCTGAATTTCTTGTCTTTTATGATAATATCAGGTCTGTTGGCTTTTATTTCCCTGTCACTTTGAATTGGCATGTCCCAGAGGATAGTTACATCGTTATTTTAGGTAACTGTGTCTGGTTGGTGTTCATACCATCTCTCAGTGGTTTCGATTTTGTGCTTCTTGCATATTTTCCAGTGCACATATGTCGATACCTTGTTATGTATGTGGATATATTCATTTTTTTTTTTTTTTTTTTGCCAGTTTCGGACATCCTGAGATAATTTGACCGGCAGTTTTATCATATTTTCCACAAATCCTGCATGATTATTATTATTATTAAACAAAATAATAATGTAACTCTTCCAAAACTGTGCAACGCTTTGTGAAGATCGCGACTTAAGAAAAGGTATTTTTTAACAATGTCTGTTTCCTTCGAGTTATGTGTAAAAATTTGCAAACAAGTCTGAAAAATATAAAAATTACAAGTCTTTGGGCAAAGTCGCTTCTCTTTAGAAAAAAGGATGTACCGGTAACCAACGTGACAAAGCCAATTGAAACGCAGTCAGCATGAATGGAATGCAACTGAAACATGAGTTGCACAATGGGGTCGCCCTCATCTTGATATTTTTAGCTTGTTGATTACTTAGTAAGATTTACTATAAATCTTATGGAACTCTCCACTCATTTCGTTCATCCCTCAGGGGGAGGGACGTTAGATGACACAGTGTTGATAGCAGACACAATGAAAACTACAGGAATTCCTGCAGATGGTAGTAAAAGAAAGCGAGAAGGAAAGGCTAAACATCGATTGTAAGAAGGCACATTTGCATAGCGAAAGATGCCTTCTAAAAACTAAGCAAAATATAAAGTAACAAAAATTTCTTTAGAAACAAAGAAAAGAGTACTGTACTGTTACGTAATACCAATCCTCCTATATGGCAGTGAATGCTGGACAATCTCCTCACAGATGAAGAAGAGACTTGAAGCAACAGAAACAAAGAAAAGAGTACTGAACTGTTACGTAATATCAGTCCTCCTATATGGCAGTAAATGCTGGACAATTTCCTCACAGATGAAGAAGAGACTTGAAGCAACAGAAACAAAGAAAAGAGTACTGAACTGTTACGTAATATCAGTCCTCCTATATGGCAATCTCCTCACAGATGAAGAAGAAACTTGAATAACAGAAAAATAGTTCTACAGAAGGATGCTGAGAATGCCATGCACTGAACATGTGATCGACGTCGAAGTTTTAACGAAAATGGAAACAAAATGTATACTTTGCATCAGAAAAAGGCAGTTTGTCTTCGCGTGATGTGATTTTTATTATTTGGTAATGTTCTTTATTTAAGATTATGTAGCGTCAGATCTGATTGAAGTGATTTGTTCTTTATGACCTGGAGAATTTTAAATCAGTGATATGAGGAAACAATCTCACACAGATGATATTTCATACATTTCTGAACGAACTGATGTCATTCATGGCATCCATATGAGAGTCTAGATCTGACGAGGCTATTTAATGGTTTTATTGATTCGTTTTTTACGGCTTATCAACATTTTGCAGGTTATTTAAAGCCAGAAGATGTTTTTAGATTGTAAGGATTTTTTGAGGTGAGGGAGATAATAATGATTTAATTAACCCATAGCTGGAGGTAGAACAGGTGGATTCATACCTTTCCCAAGAGTATTTGCGCGTAAGTGACTATAACGAACTGGAATCGGAACCATCCACGCATCCAAGCTTTCAGCACCTGACATTCCTAGGCGGTCACCCATCTAGATAGTGACCAGGCTCGACTTTGCTTAACTTCGGTGATCGTACGGGAACCGTTATTTCAACGTGACCTGACCGTAAAATTGTCACCGCTTTCGAATAAATCTCGTCTGCTTTTATTCTTTCTCTCTGTTTTGCTCTGTCTCTACGCAAGAGAAGATGGCAGCTGTGCTTGCAGACGTATAAAAGCAACGTCTCTCTCTCTCTCTCAGTTTGTAAGAAGAGGCGCGTGTCTTTGTATGGAAGGTACTGGAAACAAAACGTCTGCATCTAAAGCGTTTTAAAAGGTTAACATTTCGTTTTTTATTTCCTGCGGAGGTTATTATTTTGATGAAGAACTTTTTATTGGTGTGTGTGAAACTTAAAGATATCTCTTGGTCGGAACAACTTTTTAAAAAAAATCCATGTTAACCCTTTGCCTGTCCTGCGCATTATATGTGTTGCAGACGACATGTGATTTCCACGTCTGTGTATCATATTTGGTGCACATGAGCCAAGATTTTTAAAAGAGTGATAAAACTAAGGACACTTAAGGAAAGAGTTTACTATTGAACAGGACGTCTGAGGAAAGGCCTAATCTAATATTTTGGACATCATATGTGACCACAGGACGCTTGCTTGTTTTTCAGATTTGTAACTATTGCAAGGCAACTCGGCTTATTTGGCAAATAAAATGTGCTGATTTGTAGTGTTTCGCATAATAAAAACCTGTGCATCACGTGTGATAAAGCGTAAATAACTTATGATTTGTACGTTTTTATTGTGAAACATATACCAGCGCGTTCTGTTTGCCATATAAGCTGAGTTGCCTTGCAACAGTTGTAAATCTGAAAACAAACATGAACATTTGGATAGTACATAAGAAAAAGCCTTGGACAGGCAAAAGTTTAAAAAAAAAAAAAAAATACCCTCCCCGCAAAAAAGAACGAAAAAGCCGAAATTTCTCCCCCCCCTCCTCCAAATGCTAACGTTTCTAAAATTTTCTTCTTTCAACCGATTAGCGTGAGGCATGGTTTATATTGGTTTGGTGCATAATTATCAGGCGTTTCTAAAAAAAAAATTATTTATTACGAAAAATTAAACATAGCAATTCAACAATAACATTTTTAAATGATTATTCCGGAGCGTATGATTATCGAAACGCGTTTTTTATAACCTGAAAATAGAATAATATTTTTATAAAAAAAAAAAAAAATTAAACAAAACAACAATTTTTATTAACAAATAGCACGCATGCACCAACCCAAATATTTTATTTTGTTTTACTGATCAGAGGTCTTGCTGCCGGATGGAGTTTATCGTCATACCCAGGACGCATGCAAGGAACGATAAAATAATAATAGTCAGCAAAACGAAAAACCCATTAATTTTTGTTTTCTTATATTCTTCACATTCAGTACCCGTCTTAGCGACTTTATTGCCTTGCTTGGGGTGAAATGATTACAAAAGAAAGTTCAGTAAGAGTAGTTGTTGTTGTTATTCTCCCGTCCCTCCCTGCCTTGGGGTGTGGTTTTAGGATTCAAAACGTTATCACACGTGTCTTCCAAATGAGGATGATCGCCTCATATTTTGGGAACACTACACTTTTATTTTACGCCTTGCAAAGCTGAAATAGACTTTAAAATTAAAAAAAAAAAGAGAGAGGGAGAGACTGAGTGATTAACTCTTCACAAACTTTTAACGTGCAGTTTATTATTACAGTCGTTGAAGGTTTTAAAAAAAATAAAATAAAATAACAATAATAATTTAAAAAAAAAAAAACATGGCTCCGAAAGATAATTATTTTGAGGACACTTCCAAGTAAAGTTAAAAAAAAAAAATAGAAACAAGAAAAAAAACAACCTTATTTCCATGCCCCGAAACGGAAAAATTAAGGCAAAATGCCGTTTGCTTAAATCGCCATTAATAGAAAAAGACGCGTATAGAAATGGCATGCAATACGCATGCGTGTTAACTTGCAGACGATAATATAATTTCCAACGGTTGGAGTAAGGTCTGAGCGAAATCATACTTATTATAAAACCCAGGTTGTGTGTGTGTGTGTGTGTGTGTGTTCGTTTATATATTGGATCGGATTTCCTACATTTTTCAACCGATTTCAACAAAATTTCACAGGACTACGTAAAATTACCTTGCGGTGGTTCTGACAGCGCCAAAAATTGGAAAAACACAATTGCTTTTACACAAAATCAATTTGAAAACACGATTAAGAGGCATCGCGAGAATGAAACGGGGACAACTCATATCAAGTTATACTTATTATAAAACCCAGGTTGTTTGTGTCTGTGTTCGTTTATATATGGAATCGGATTTCCTACATTTTTCAACCGATTTCAACAAAACTTCCCTTTTTTTTGGCAGGTAGTGTTTCTTATTGTATTGCACACTTTTTTCTTTATTTTTACATTCAGAATACTTTAAAAATTCCATTTACAAGACAATTGTTTATAATAAAATTCTATTCAATCGGTAGACTCATAACGATTGAAAACAATGTTTTTGTTTGAGTTTGGGTTTGACCAATTCGTTAAAAAACAAAAAACAAAAAAAAAACTATTTAAGACATGCGTGTCCGTCAACCTTAAACAATAATCTTTGTTAATTTTATTTTTCAGTCTTTATGATGGTCGATACTTGATCTATCTCTTACTGTTACATCCCCGGGCAACGCCGGGCTCTCCTGCTAGTATTAAATAAATATACAAACCTTGGAAATCATATTTCCCGCTACTTTGACCATTCTTTAATGACGAAAAAAAATCTTTTTCTTATATTCTTTAACACTTATTTGTTATGATGAGCTTTCCTCTTTGGTACCTCGAATGCAGGAATTTAAGTGTGATACGAGATTGGAAACTAGGTCGTATCGTTTTACTATTGGACTAGCTTTTATTTGCGTTTTTGTTTTTTTGTTTTTTAAGCGTTTCACCCCAAGCAAGGCGGGAAGCCACGAGCACGCAAGGGGTTACAGAGAGTTGGAACGAGAGCAAATAGGAGTGATAGAGGAAAGGATGAAGAGAAGGATAGGCGATAGATCAAGGCATCTGGAGACGTCGATTGATATTACATTTGAATAGTTGGAGATTATAGCTATCAGGGAAACAGGGAAAGGGGAGGGAGTTCCACGGGTGAGAAGTGCGAGACATGATGCTATTGGAGTAGAAGAGATGGCTACATTCAACAGTTTCGACAGTGAATGGGTGTGAGCGAGATGCCAGCCTAGTTGAGCGCTTAAATTCATGAAGTCTGGGAACCAGCGAAAGCAGCTCATCGGAGCAGTTACCGTGAAAGTAATTGTAAAAAAAGAGGGAGGAGACGGCATGTCTGTGAGAGAGCGACTGCAGACGAGATGCCAGATCAGGGCCAATTACATTGTATATCCTTTTCTGGATTTTATATCGAGGACCTTGAGACAAACAGAAGGGGCTCCAGACCATATATGGCAGCAATACTCCATGCAAGGGCGAATGGCTGATTTGTAGATCTGAAGGATCGACTCCGGTGAGAAAAATTTCCTGGTGCTGCACAGGGAGCCAACTTTCCTTGCGGTGGACGAAGCTATTGACTCAATATATTTGTTCCATCTCAGGTCAGCAGTCAACGTGAGACCGAGCAGTCGTAAAGAGGTGCTCTCGAGTTAAGCGTCAGACATTCTAATGGTGGGGCCAGGGATGGTTCTCTGTGATGAGTAATAGAGATCAGTTTTGCATTAAAGTTAACCAGCCAATTCCTGTTCCAATTAAAAGTTTCTGTTCTTGCCCTTCTCACCTGGGGAAATCCATTTTGATTTTTTTGCTTGCTTGTAAAATCTTCAAAAAGTTAAATGCAGCGCCAATCGCCATCTTCTGCTTTCTTGAATTCTGTTTCCTTATTGTCCTTTTCTTCATTTATCCTCACGAATGTCGAGCAGAGAATGAGAGAGTGATGAGCAGAGGGAGGAGGGGCATGAACAGAGAGAAAGAGGGTCATGAAGAGAGGAGCAGAGAGAGGGTGAGAGAGATACTAACAGAGATAGAGAGGGTCATGAAGAGAGCAGCAGAGAGAAAAGAGCAGAAAGAGGGTCATAAACAGAGGGCTAGAGAGGGAGAGAGCAGAGATGAGAGAGAGAGAGAGAGAGAGAGATGAACGAAGATACAGATTTTCAGAGATAGTCATGAAGAAAGAGTCAGGGTCATTATTTATTGTACTTTTCTTCACTTATCCTCACGAAAGTCGAGCAGAGAATGAGAGAGTGATGATCAGAGAGGGAGAGGGAGAGAGATGAGCGGAGAAAGAGAGAGAGAGTGGCCCATGAATGTAATAGCAGATAGAGAAGGATGGTCATAAAGAAAGGAGCAGAGAGAGAGAGACGGTCATGAACAGAGAAGCAGAGAGAGAGAGAGAGAGATAGACATGAACATGAACAGAGGAGAAGAGAGAGAGGGTCATGAAGAGAGGAGCAGAGAGAAGGTGAGACATTAAGAGCAGATAGAGGGTCATAAACAGAGGGGTAGAGAGAGAGCAGAGATGAGCACAAAGAGGGAGTGATGAACGAAGATAGAGAGATGAGCAGAGAGAGTCATGAAGAGAGGAGCAGAGAGAAGGGGTCAGAACAGAGAAATAGCAGAGAGGGTGAATGTCAAATTAACAGAGAGGTCAGAACAGAGAGAGAGAGAGAGAGACATGAGAGAGAGAATGTCATAAACAGAGGGGTAGAGAGAGAGAGAGAGAGTCTGAGAGAAAAGAGCAGAGACAGAGAGTGTGTGTAGGAGAGGTGAGCAGAGAGTGTGTGTCGGGGAGAGGTGAGCAGAGTGAGAATGAGAGAGATGAGCAGAAAGAGTGTGTGTGTGGGAGAGGTGAGCAGAGAGAGAGAGTTGGAGAGATGAGCAGAGAGAGTGTGTGTGTGGGAGAGATGAGCAGAGAGAGAGAGAGATGAGCGGAGTGAGAGAGATGAAAAGTCTTTTACCATTTAGTCGCTTTATTGCCTTGAAATGAATAAAAATATCTAAATATTAGGTATTTTTTACACTTTTATTTGGTAGATAAAGTTTTTATTACACTCCTCCATTAGTGTCATAAGGTAGAATTTGATAAGGGAAGA